TGTGCCCTTCAGCAAGTAGGAAATATACAGAAATTGAATAAAGTGATCAAACACTAAATTCTAAATTAAATAGAGATTAATCCTTGAAGCTCTTTTTTCTTTTGTTCTTTGAAAACAGACATCACAGCAGCTGGGTTATTTGGTTATTTTGGCTGCTTTAAGAGCTGCCACTGCTGAACATGGCACAGATCTGACACGCATCATAGTTTCTCACAACTCTTTACCTTTTCTTACTCACTTCAGGTCTTAAAGTCTCTACTAATGAGCTGATTAGTTGAATCGGGTGTGTTAGATGAGGGAAACAGTGCTGGGTTGATCCAGGATAGTTTTGAAAACCACTGTATTTCAGATATGTTCTTAAATGTGACTCATGTATAACACATACTTACATGTAGGGCTGTGCAAAAAATCAGTAAAGCCGCTCCTGTGATTAGTAGTAAATCTCCAGCACGTGCTTTCAAATGGAGCGGCATTTACTACACAGAGCCGTAGTTCACTGACAAGCTACACAAAATGCATGCACAGTTTTAAGGCAGCTTCAATCACCTTTTTTGGTAACTTGGTAATTTGTGCGTGCAATTGAAGAGCATGTGCTACGTGCTACAGTATAACGGCTGACAGGACAGGAAAATAAGTTTTTACTGACATTTGGTCTGACAACATCTCATCTGACCGCAGTTCACTGTTGTTCTACTGAAGCTCCTCATCACCTGTAGCTTTTTTGCGCTCGTTTGATTAGCGCCTGGTGCTGAAGCGAAGTTGCAGTGCGCGTCTGAAAAGTCTCCCGTTTGTGGTAGTAAAGACGTTCTACGTCTAAATAAATGCAATTCTTGTCAAGAAAAAAGAGACAGAAGCAGCAGTTGTGAGTGGAGTGGCCAACCCTAGCTCCGCCCCTGTATTAATTGCATTAAATGTTCTTAATGCCGTTAAACTGAAAAAAATAATCGCATGCGTTAACAAGCTAATTTTGACAGCACTAATATATATATATATATATATATATATATATGTATACATACACAGTATCTCACAGAAGTGAGTACACCCCTCACATTTTTGTAAATATTTTATTATATCTTTTCATGTGACAACACTGCAAAAATGACACTTTGCTACAATGTAAAGTAGTGAGTGTACAGCTTGTATAACAGTGTAAATTTGCTGTCCCCTCAAAATAACTCAACACACAGCCATTAATGTCTAAACCACTGAAAAAAAAAAAAAAAAACTCATCCCAAACCTTTGAACAGTAGAGTAAACCGCAACAAGAATCAATTACAATATCAGAGGTCAGAAAAACTGAATCTCCGTAGTTTCATTGATAATATTCAGCATTATTTCACACTAAATGCAGATATTCAGCAACAAATCTCAATAACTAGAACAACCAGACACATATCACAACAAATACAGTATACTGAAATATCATTCAGCTGATGTGGGTGAGGTTAACATTTGTTCACGTCATAGTAAGCTAACAAACATTGACAGCCATAATGATTATATGCAGCAATCACTGTAGAGCTATTTAGCGCAATGGCAACAATAGCAGCATAAAAGCACCATTTCTGAAAACTGTATGACTCATAGATTCCAAGCCTTACAGTTGCAGGCTTCAACTAATTATGTACGTACAGTAGTTGGTGCATTGCACTCTGCAGTGGTATTAGATTATATTCTTTCATTTTTTAAAAGCTAATGCTTTTTTTTCTGACCTGCATTTCTGCCAAAATTATTTTAAAACTGGACACCTTTTGAATAGGAACAATCAATACACAATGACACCTCCACTGAACTAAAAGGATTATGCATGAGAAGAGAAATAAATAATAACAACAAAATTGCTTTATTTATCTTCATCCATTCGGAGAACGTGTGTGGGTCAGTTTTTGCCTACATTGTGGACCGAAAGTCAATATAAAGTGCCCATTATGACAGAAAAACAAAAGTGTGTGTAGATTTGGAGTTACTGAAGATTATCCCTCTTCCATATGGAATAAGATTGTTTACACGGGGATGGGCTGATTGCTTATTTTGGAGTTAGGCGGTGGATGTTTCACAGGCTCGACTTCTGTGGGACGCTTTCCACACAGCCTAAAGTAAAAGTGATTATAACCAGATTTGGAAGCTTTTGTTCTTTTTTTTTTTAACTGCTGAGAAAATCTCAAATAAATAACCAGAAAAAGAGTGAAAAAGTAGAAAAAAGCATCCAACCATACAGTAATGCAGACATACAGTAATTCATCATAAAATCTTACTTAATGCAGAGTGCCTGCTAAAGCAATATGCAATATGTAAATAAGCCAAACTGATTTTGAAAATATACTCAATTTTAAACTAATTAGAACAAATCTAACTGTAAAGTAGAATAAGCAGCAACAGATATGCAACACAAAATAAATCAAAATATATATCTGTGTCTAATTTTCATCCAGCAGAAGAGATATATGACCCTCTCTCTCTTTTCACACTCTTGTGAAAAAAACAAAACAAAAAAAAAACATGAAAAAAGATGTCATGATGTCATGGCTCGATTGAGACATTCATACTCAGCAGCTCATGAAAAACATTAAATGGATCATTAATACTCCCAATTAGAGCATTTGTTTCTTTCAAGTTCCTTTAATGATCTTCTGTAGACTATTTAATACTGATTTAATTTAAAGCTGTACATCAATAATTCATCAGATGATAATGTTATACTTGAGAAAATACGGCCTTTTTCATACGGCCTTTTCAACATGCATATAACTACACAACCACAAAATATTTTATTCATGAATCGTTTTTCCAGTGATTGCAGTACAGTAACCACACACTCATAAATACAGGTCTCATCCTATCAGCACATCTTAGCAGAGTGGTTGCTGATCACGAAACACATCTTTGGACAAACCAAGTATTAACACAAGCTTCCACGTGAAAACCAGCATAAATACATGTACAACCCGCAAAAAAACAACCTCTGATTTGCCCTTTCACTATTTTTTTACAAGTTTAGCCATGAAGTCAGCAAAAAACCCCAGCTGACATCCATATACTAGTTGATTTTCTTCAACTCTTATCTCTGCTAGTGCTTCTTAGCTTACGTGCACATGCAAGGTTGACAAATTGGCTTGACCTCTTGTCAGGTTGGGTCTCATATGGTTTATCAATGTTCTCGCCCACTGTGATTACAATCGGACGAGCTTGCAGTCATTACGCTAATGGAGGCGCATTCTAATTGATGACATCCTCATTTGCATTGTGTGTTAATTACCCAAATCACTTAGCTGCATCTGCAAATTCTAATTTGTACCCGCAGATTCAGTGCGGCTGGATGTTTTCACCTGAAAATAAAGATGTACTTCTCTCTGCAATGGTAAACAAAAAGCATAGTTAAATTAAGTAAAGGAACCATGAAGTGAAAATTCACCTCAGACACACCAGCCGGAATTAATCACAACCATTTCAAAAGCCAAATGATTATGCCAAGGAAAACATGTGACCAAATTATGGAGATCCAAGAGGAAAGACGACTGATAACTGGGCAAAATATGATTAGTTCAAATTAAAATAACAGAATAAAAAAAAAAAGCAAATGGCTTTAATGAATAGGTGAAGTCGCAAAGCAAATTACTTTTAACTTTGCTTTTAACTTTGCTTATAAAATGGCGTGACATCAATAGTGAAGCTTTCTATGGCATTCATTACAGAAACCTTCACTACACTCTTAAAAATAAAGGTTCTTTATTGGCATCTATGTTTGCATGAAAAACCTTTGATATAAATGGAACCTTTTCATTACACAAAAGTTTCTTTAGATTATCAAAATGTTTTTTAACACTAAGAAAATGGTTCTTTTAAGAACTGTTCACTGAAATGTGAACAAAATAGTTCTCCTGTGAAAATTCCCTCTTGGAAACTTTATTTTTATAAGTGTTGTAACACAGCCATGAAGTCCCCGGGTAAAGGTCTCATGTGAATAGTTTCCTTGCGGATGTACATCTTGCATATAAAGATCTCTTACCTGAGAGTGAACATCTCCACAGGTGAGTACGGTGAAGCTGCAACATATGCTGATACGGTATCCCTTTGCCGAACTGGTGCGGATGGTACCAACACTGCAAAATTCCCATCCAAACGTTGCTCTGATAATTCTGGAGCAGATGGATTCTGGAATAATCTTACACTCCCGATGTGCCTCATGGGTGTAGAGGTCGCCGACCCAAACAATCCCTCTTGATCCGAGTGAGCGGCGCTCTTGAACCCTAACTCCTCGGAAAGACAAGCTCCCACTTCTGCGGCCCGAAGGCTGTAGTACAGCTCTACAGGCGTTCCTTCAGACATATCCGGACCCCTCTGGCGTCCGGGGACAACGCTAGGAGGTGCAAACCACCCAGGAAGAGGCTCGAGCTCTGCAACGCAGACGCCCATGTCCCCTCGCAACCTGCAGCTCCCACGGACCTCCTGGGTTTCGTGGAAGGCGAACATCCGTACACAGGGGAGTTTGTCCACCGCGCTATAGTCGTCCCAGTCCCTCCCAGCGATGTAGAACAAGACCTGAACCTTGGGTTTGTTCAGGTAAATCCTTTCGTTGAGAACAAAGGTTTGTACTTTCCAGTTGAAGGTGAAGAGGGCTGAAGAAGCCACAAAGGAGCCAGGCATCTGGAGGAGGTCCAAAGGAATAGGCTCTTCCACTGCAAGGGTCCTATATGTGGCGTTGATGATGGGAGGTCTCCTGGCCTGGTGGATGAAGAACAGTTCTGTTCTGGAGAGGAAACTAGAGTTGCGCATGAAGTCCTGGGTGGCCTCCTTAAGAAAGAAGGAGGACTCTGTGTTGAGGAGCTGGTAGTTGACAGGCAGGTAAGTAGGGGAGGCGTAGCGCTGAAGATTCTCCAGGATACGACAGTCTGTAACTGACACAGCAAAGAAAAGAGATGTCAGAACTAACTGGAATAGTTACTTGTGGGTCTCTACACTCAGGAAAAAAGGTACAAAGGCTGTCAAAAGCTGTGCCTTTCAAAAGGTACACCTTTGTATTGTATGTATGCATATTAGTACCCTAAAGTTACATAGCACATTTTCGAAGTGGAACACCAAGGTTATTAGAGTTTTGAGTTGTAATTTAGTTTTTATTTTTATATTTAGCTTTCAAGTTTAAATTATTAATTTACATTAAATTTTTTTTTCAATTTGTTGGTTTTAGTTTTTTTTTTTTTTCAATTATAATTTTTTTTATTAATTTTTTATTTTTTTTTTATTTTAGTTCATCAGTATCATTTAGTTTTTTATTTTTATTTCAGTTAGCACGTGAGTTTAATTTTAGCTTTTATTTTTATTTATTTATATTTTTTTCAGTTTTAGTTTCAGATTTTTTTTATTATAATAACCTTGGGTAGCAAGACAGCTGACAGCTGTTTTAACTTTTTTTGTGTAAGTGTGTGTATTAAAAGAAGAAAAGAACACAGATGCATCAATATTACAATTCCAAATGATACCAAGAATCTGATAATTATTTTCATGTTATGGATGATAACCAATGGCTGATATTAAAATGATATACCATTTTGTCTAAATGAATAAAAAAAACAAAAAAACCTAATGGAACAGATGAATCAACACATTATAATGTAAAATATGAAATATTCATTTTTTAGATCTGCTAAATATTTGATTTAACAGTGTAATTCAATTATCAGTGTTTCAAAGATTAATTTGAGTTTATCTCAAGTTATCCTCTAAAATGAGATGATTGCAAAGGTAAACTGTAAATGTATAAATGCTGGTAATGAGAATGGACAAGTAAATGTACAATATAACTGTGCAATACATTAAAACATCTGATTTACAACCGTATTGTTTACTGTAGAAAGCACATCCACATTAACCTGATCAGTTAAAGCAGCACAATTTATGATTACCACTGTTGTCAGATTTTATTGCGGATTTATTGCGAAATGTAATCTTGACAAACACATTAAATAGATGTAATTCTTTCTCCATTCAAATAGAGGTAATATATACTTGTATGACTATTGTCTGCATAGAAAATAGCTGCCCAGAAGCATTACCAAGATAGCAGACGAATGAACTGACTTGCCTTAAAGGGACTTTGATTAAACTGTGGACCCCAAAGAACAATTGTTGGTTATTCAGCACTTACCTGCTATAAAGCTACAAAATGTGCTCTATCTGAACAGAAACATTACATTCTGTTTTAAATTTTACGTTTCAGTATCCTTACAAGCCATAAAAATAGAAATCAGGTTTACAATTTTTGTAGAGTTCTTTTGATGGAAAATGACATTGAAAGTAACAAGTTAATATGAAAACTTTAATGACCACCTGACTTTACATAACAGACATCTGATTATTGTTTCAGAGAACTGGACTAAAGTTCAACTTTTTCAGCTCTTTCCTCAAATCTATTGCATCATAAAAGAAGTGCCAAAGTTATTTCCAGAGCAGGCACTGCTTGTATCCTATGTGATATCTCCCTCACTGTTTCAGGTAGACAGCACTGGCAGTGGCATGCTATCATAACCTCAATAGCAAAGCCTCCAGCAGAAACATCGATTTCACCACAGACAGAAAGTAATATGGAGACTGATGAGACACTCTGATATGAAGAAGTGGACTTAAACCAAAATAGACACAGATAGGCCCTCTTTTTCTGTGAGGGTGAACATATGACCCATTATATAGCACCGTATCACTGTTCTGGGAACTATATTTTCAGCCAAAACACAATCTTTGCGAACCAAACATGAATCCAATCCATTTATATTTAACACATAACCGATTTAAACACTGTTTTCCTTCATTTTCTGAATAACGGCCATGATTGTAAAATCTAGATTAAAGACCAATCTCTTTAACCTGGCTTACACACTAACACATTTCTAATATTCAAATCCATTAAAGGATTTTTAGGCTGCATTAATTAGGACAACCGGAACCGGGAACACTTCCCATAACACCCAATGTACTTGCTACATTGTTAGAAGAATGGCATCTATGCTAATATTAGCTTGTAACACTTCAAAGAGAAAGGAAAACTTGAAATCGCATCATATGACCTCTTTAAAACATTTTTATCCACCCAGTGTTTTAATGTCATATCTTAATCAATCGTTAGTCTTTGACCTTTAAGCTGAAGAACATTTTGTGCTCTGATTAGGCTACTTTCCTCTTTCTGCACTCTGTTTTGACCAAGGATGCGGCAATGAATGACCTGCTTGTGAATCAGAAGGAATAAATTACTCTCGTAGGACGATTGGCTATGCACACACATGCACGGCCGTACACAAACACGGCTGAAAAAAGGGCTTTGAAGGGGACATCTTGTCATTGCAAAACAATCTAAGTGATTCGTTGAAGCAATTGAGAGGAAATACAGTGAAAAACAGTTTTTTTTCAGGCTCCATTTTCACTGTTTACAATATTTATTGGCTTGCCTTGGCAAAAAGAAATAGTATTCTCATAGTAAATTTAAGTTGTATTCCCATACACATGCTCCAGATGCGATACCTTATATACAGCACACAATTCATGCTTGGTCAATAATCAACACTCGCTGACAGATGTTGCAGTCAAGTCCAGATGTTTCTGGCTGTTATTTTAGTGCTAATAGCTAGTTTACATACAGCACACAATATACAAACGCCACAAGTCAGAATTTCATAAGGCAACTTGTGGAAGCAGAAAAACCCAGACAGCCTGCAGTGTGAAATACAGCGCAATGTCTTCTTTGGCAAAAAAAACATTACAGATTTTAATTTATGACTTACAAGCTCGGTTGACTTTGTTTAATTTCTCGAGTGGCCAATTCAAAGAAGTTGTGAATGTTTGCTACAAAAAAAAGAGAGAAATTGTTAGCAAAAGTAATGAATGAGACCAGGCTTAAATTAAATTACGAACATGACCAGCAACCCGGAAAAGGGAAGCCATTAATCAGAATCTCTTTAATGTGCTGTGTGGCAGTAATTTCAGTCCTCGCGTAATACAAAGTGATACACTTATTTGAAAAAGAAAATGAAATATGGGAGTTGAATGCCACTAAACGTCTGCAAATTCATGCCAGTTATTTAATTTAAGTCAATTTCATTTCATTCAGTTCAGCAATAATGAAATATACAATTGCTGGGTGTACTTTTCATGATAGTATGCATTTGAACAAGGGACAAAGGAACATTGTTTGTAGTTTTGCAGCTCTATTATGAAGCATAACACAATAAACCGTTAATAAATTCTCACTGAACAAAAATTAAACTGAAATGAATGGCTTCAATGTCTTATTTAAAACACACAGCAAGAAAAGCCTCTATAGTCTCCACCTGTCAGTCATCATCACCGCCCGCTTTTCTGTTCCTTTTGCCTCTTTCTCTTCGACCACGCTGCTGTCACGCTGATGGATCAACATGAGTCGCTGGTCGGCCCTTGTAGGGAGGCTCCAGACAGGGGGAAGGTCTTCTTCTGACTGCCCAAGCAGGACAAGGTATTAGGAAGGCCTGACAGGAGGGCTGCCCAGAGGAAAGCAGCTCGGGCTGGAGAGGGCTTTCAGAGTCACTGCCCCCTAGTCTGGCTGTGGACGAGAGCGGCCTTAATGGTATGTAAGGCTACAGGAGGCAGTGTCAACCTGTCCGTGGCCTGTCAAAGAGTGTGGTGAGAGGGCGAGATTGGAGAGCGAGTCACGCAGGTGTGAGAATGAGAGGGAAAGGGCAAGGTGGAGGGAGAGAGACTCTCCCAGTAAACAGATGGAGGGATAAAGGATGGTGAGAGATTTTCATGATAGTATGCATTTGAACAAGGGACAAAGGAACATTGTTTGTAGTTTTGCAGCTCTATTATGAAGCATAACAATAAACCGTTAATAAATTCTCACTGAACAAAAATTAAACTGAAATGAATGGCTTCAATGTATTATTTAAAACACACAGCAAGAAAAGCCTCTATAGTCTCCACCTGTCAGTCATCATCACCGCCCGCTTTTCTGTTCCTTTTGCCTCTTTCTCTTCGACCACGCTGCTGTCACGCTGATGGATCAACATGAGTCGCTGGTCGGCCCTTGTAGGGAGGCTCCAGACAGGGGGAAGGTCTTCTTCTGACTGCCCAAGCAGGACAAGGTATTAGGAAGGCCTGACAGGAGGGCTGCCCAGAGGAAAGCAGCTCGGGCTGGAGAGGGCTTTCAGAGTCACTGCCCCCTAGTCTGGCTGTGGACGAGAGCGGCCTTAATGGTATGTAAGGCTACAGGAGGCAGTGTCAACCTGTCCGTGGCCTGTCAAAGAGTGTGGTGAGAGGGCGAGATTGGAGAGCGAGTCACGCAGGTGTGAGAATGAGAGGGAAAGGGCAAGGTGGAGGGAGAGAGACTCTCCCAGTAAACAGATGGAGGGATAAAGGATGGTGAGAGAGAGAGAGAGAGAGAGAAATCAGTGTGGTTGTCAGGTGTTTATTGAAGTGAAGCAGGCCTGTCTCCATGAGGGAATCGTCTGCTTAGTTTTGGAGGACTATCTAATCCCGTGATGCTTTGTTCTCACTCTAGTCTTGTGCCTAGGGTTGGGAACCGACAAGAATAATTAAGGATCACTTCCATTAAAAAATACAGGTGGTTATGAGTATCTGCAGCTCTTTTCGGTGAATCAGAATCATACAGGGCAAACAGTGTAGCCTGATTCCCGAACAAATGACTCTTATGAACTGATTCCTTTGATCCCGTTGATCAACATTCTTATGGTGCGACCAGTGTAGTTTGATTCCTGAACAAACGACTCTTAGGAGCTGGTTCCTTTAAATGAATCAAAAACATACAGCATGACTATAGTGAGCCACTAGTGACTTGAATAAATGACTCTTATGAGCTGGATGTGTTTAATGAATCAGACATACAGCACGACCAGTGTAGTCTGATTCCCAGTCA